CATGTATTGATTAAATAAATGTTCTAATTGGCGACCATTTTATTCGTCATGGCGCCTAGCTAAAAAAATTGATTGGCGCCTATTGTTTTTCATAAGGCGCCAAATTTGCGACAATTTTAAATTGACTTGGTGATCGTCAAATTCCGGAACTTTTCACATTTACCTATTTTTTTGAAGAAGAGAAAAGAAAAAACTGGAAAATATTTAAAGAGTAGGAAATTATCTTGTAGCATTGGACGTGTGATTTTTCTTAGTCACCTTTTTGGATTTATTTTAGTTAACACACGTCTCTATATTGATTACTATCAAAGTTGGCGCCTTTAAAATGCCTGGCGACTAAAAATTTGATTTGGCGACTATTTTTTCTCTCGATAAGACGCCAGCTGACACCTAAAATTTAGAGGTCACTTAGAGGCCTACTGAGAGAATATCAACAAAACAGAATAAAGGGCTGCTTCTTAAACTTCTTAAAGGGAGACCTTAGCTGCTGTGAAAATTGGAGAGGGATTACCTGCTGCCTGTATCTAGCAAGATCCTATGTAGAGTAATACTTAACAGGATGAAAGATGCAGTGCATAAAGTTTTACAGGATGAACACACAGTCTTGCTTTGGATCCAACAGAAGGTGTACTGTCCAAATAGCAACTCTACAAATACTAGCTGCAGATCTGTAGCGTTATGGTTTTATATATTTGTCTTTGACCATAACGCTACAGATCCCTTAGTGCAAAAAAAGGTGCAATTTACGGCGCAATATTTTTTGCGCTCTTTTGGGGAGAATTTCTCCACTTTCTAGTATGGTCAATCAGCTACCTTTCACTACCTAATTCTGGACACATTCTGTAGCCAATATGTATAGTTTATCCACCTCCAAACCATTTATTGTTGTCTCCACAGGCAATAAACTCGCTTGAAGTGAATTTTCAGTAATCTAACAAATAATTTTAATCAAGCGATTTTATCACTTGTAGAGAGATGGATAAATTATATAGATTAGTTAAATAATGTGTCTAGAATTAGGGGTTGAAAGGTAACTGATTGACCGATGCTTGAAAGTGGAGAAATTCTCAACAAAAGAGCGCAAAAAATATTGCGCCGTAAATTGCACCTTTTTTGCACTACGGGATCTGTAGCATTATGGTTAAAGACAAATATATAAAACCATAACGCTACAGATCTGCAGCTATACAAATACTTGCTGAGCAACCTGTTGAATGGCAACCGTTTCTGTATATAAATTTTATCGACTTTAAAAAGGCATCTGACAGTGTCAACAGAGATGGAATGTGACAAATGCCAAGATACAATGGAATAGCTTTTAACATAGTGAATGTTATCAAGAGATAACACGAAACATCTATCATTGATTCCTTTCTTGTAAAAACTGGACAAACAAGGCTGCTTACTTTCGCCCACTCTGTGTTCTTAATAGTGATAGAGTGAATCAAAGTAGCCATTCGACAAGTCAAGGGGAATACAATGGACAATGGTCAGGATATTGGAAGGCCTGAAGTTTCCCTATGGCCTTGCGCAATTGTCCCAAATAAAAGACGTCAGATAAAAGACTAACAAGCGAAACGAAATTGGAAAGCTTAGATGGGGCTCAAAAAGTTATGAAATTCAAGGCTAGAAAAGGTGAACCAATCATAGTGGAGGGTAAGAATTGAAAGAGGTGGAATAATTTACTTACTTTGGGTTCAACATAAGTTATACAGGTGGTTCAGACGAAGACATTTAAAGCCAGAGTAAGTAAAGCCCGACAAGCCTTCGCAATGCTCAACCCTGACTGGAGTTCCAGTACATTGAGTGAAATCACAAAGATCCGAATATTTACTATCAATGTTAAATCGGTGCTTTTCTACGAATGTGAAACCTGGAGACTAAAAACAGGACAACAAAAAAATCAAGGTTTTTACCAACAGCTGCCTACGACACATCTGTAAAATGACCAAAAAGGGTATCAAACATCTAGTTGTGCGTGCCGGCCAAGAACCAAAATCCCTCCAGATCAAGAAAGGAGCATAGAAGTGGATTGGTGACACATGGAGAAAAACAACAAACAGCATCATTAGAGCGGCATTGTACAGGAATCCACAAGGTTAATGAAAACAAAAGGCCCATGGGCCACATAGCTCACCTGAGCACTGCATCTAGGAAAAGAACAAAAATCAATCCAATATTGAAAAGCTTTAATGCATAAGTGGTCTCAACCTATCCCTAAAAACGTGGATGGGAGAGGGTGGGGTGGGTATAATTTTAATTAACTTAAAACTATACTAACAAAGAATGCTTACATATTTCTTTGACTTACTATGGCTTTTTTCCCCTATAAGTTTAAAAATTCATTTTAGCCTCCTCCTATCTCCAGGGGTCATGATTTGAATAAAATTAAGTCTTCAGTGTCTGAAGATATTTCGTTACAAATATAACCAATCATGACTTTGTTCTTCTTAAGAAGAATGTTTTTAAAGAATTTTCCTATATACCTTTAATTAATTTTTACCGTCCATTGTGGGCCCACCCTACCCCGGGGGTTATGATGAACAAACTTGAATCCACACTACCTGAGGATGTTACAATATAAATATAACTATGGCTTTGTTGTTCTTGAGAAGAAGATTTTAAAAGATTTAATCTGTATATTCCTATGTAAAATTTTGATCGTCCATTGTAGCCCTGCCCTATCAGCGAGGGTTATGATTCGAATAAACTTGAATCTACACTACCTGGGGATGCTTTCACAATAGTTTCATCTTTCAAGACCAAGTGATTCTTGAGAAGAATATTTTTAAAACATGCCACCAAAATTTCATTATTTTTAAATAATCTCCCCTTGAAAGAGGGTGTGGCCCTTCATTTGAACAAACTTGATCCCCTTCACTCAAGTATGCTTTGTAGCAAGTTGGTTGACATTGGCCCAGCTGTTCTGGAGAAGAAGTCGGAAATGTTATAAGTTTACAGACGGACAGACAGATAACGGTCAAAATGTGATGAGAAAAGCTCACTTGAGCTTTCAGCTCAGGTGAGCTAACAAGGACAATCATTACACCGCTGGATTGAAAGAACTAGAAAACATTTGTAAGACTGTGGAATAAAGAACAGTCCATAATAAAGTAAAGCGGAGAGCGACTGAAGTAGCCATATGGTCCACCCAAGGAAGACATAATAAGTATGTAAGGAATGGATGATATTGTAGCTGAATTCTAACAGGATATAGGATCTAAATAAAATAAGGCCGATTTTATCATTCCATATTTAAATATGAAGTTGAACATCTTGCCGGTCGGTTTTCATTCCGGGTCAATTTTTAATTCATCAATGGGGTTTAAATTGCACCGTATATATTTTATAGAGCAAAAAGTCTTCAAAAAATATTCAACTCGTTTCGATATATGTTGCATTGACATGTTAGTCGTACCGGTACGATCCTAGGTCACGTGAAATTAATTTTTGTTTTGTCAATTTGAAAGCAAGAATCACCAGCCATATGAATTATACTTCTACCTCATTGTTCTCTGTAACCATTTAAAAAAAATAATGCATGTATTTTTGCACAAAATTTTGCACAACTTTTAACCTTATGGTAAAATCATTCCCCATTCTGGTAAACATTACTCAGGTTATCCATTGAAATATATATAAACATATTAGAAATATTGCTGACTATGAAAAAGTTATTTGTATATGTAGTAAAGTACTAGCAATCTTTCCTTTATTAAAGCTATATCTGGCATATCTGAGCTTAAAATAAAAATACGAGATTGTAGATTTACATGATATTTGTTATTTACCTTCAAATTTAAATTTTCACCGAATTTGAACTAAAATATCGCCAAGTTTCTATAATTAAATTGACTTTAAACTGTGATTGCTATTTATTTCCGAGTCGGAAATAAAAAGGTTATTGTTTAAATCACTGATATCTATGAAATGCTGTTGATATAAAATTTGCAATTTAAAGGAAAGTACTATTTTTTAAATGTATTTAAGCACTGAACTCTATCATCATTAAAGGATATCATTTGAAATACTAATATCTCCATTTCTAATTTTCTTTCTATGTGATTACTCTTTGAAAGTTAGCGGACTTGATTTCTTGATAATCTACCGGAATGTAAATTAGCCAGGTCGCTAGGTCAGGTGGTAAAGAGACCAAAAATGCATGCAAATCTCGTGTGCATCTGTCTCTGTCTGACGCTATGGAGGCCAAATATGCATGTCAATCTTGTGCGACTGCCTTTGTATTTGGCATCAGTTGGCGAGGACTATTGATATAAGCATGGGAGTCCTCGTGTTATTTAAATCTAAATCGAAATTTAAAAAATCTAAATCTACAATTTTATTTCACAGTGAGATGGAAATATAAGGAACCACTGTCTAGTTCGTATAGTATGCCAAGGCATCAACGATGGTGGGAAATACGGAATAATTTGCATAACAGGCGAAGAAACATGGGATAATTTAGGCATAAAGGATTTCGCACGTTATGCAAATTATCCCATGTTTCCCACTTTCGGTGATGACCTGGTGTACTATACTAACTGGACAGTGATTCCTTAAATAAAGAAAAAAAATACACTTCCTCAAAAACCATCAGGAATTTGAACTCTATTGATCATGATAACTTTACTTTTTGGCACAAACGATCTCATTTTATGGAATTGCTTACTGCGAATTCCAAACAGTAAATGAATGAAAGAAAACTGGAATATTGTAGGTGGAATGAAAAGAGATGACTTTCTTTATATTCTTCTTGTGCCTTCTGAATGGAGGTAAGTTAATTACATGTAAGATGTAAGTATATACAGTTAATGAAAATTGGTCTAAAGGAAGTGCTTTTAATTCTTTTTTGTACGCCTAAATAACAAAGTTAACTTCACAACTACATGTACCCTTCTGTGATTAACGGTATCTCTAAGTTATCCAAAATTTTTACAAGTATTTTATCTTTTTTAACAGTGTATGCAATGACCGAGGAAAATGTTGGAGAAAGGGTACCTATGAGTTCATTCAGTGCTCTAGAAAAATGGACATTATACTGCTTAAAGACGTGAAACTGTATAACGGGACAGGATATGAAGTGTACTATGTGAGTTACATGTACATGGATTTTAGAAACTCCTTAGAAACTGTCCTATCTACATGTAATGGAAAACACAGATGTAATGCCACCATTACCGAACTTTTTCATTCCCCATATCCTGGAAGATTGTGCATTCTATTTTCATGTGTCCCAGGTAACTTACATTTTATGTTTGTCTTGAATACTGATTGATGATTGATTTTTGTTTTTTGAACGCCGAGACGGCAATATTTCAGCCATATTTCGGCGGAGAAATTAAAAAATAATATGAAAGATTTTGAAAGTTGGGTTTCTCTTGCGCCCCCCAGTGAGCCTACTCTTTTTCGAACTCCAGAGAAATGATCTTTTACGTGCCGAGAGGGTTGTTATCCTTGACACGGGACACCAATTAACGTTCTATCCGACGGACTTTAATTTTAAAAATAAAAACAGTTACATTCAAATATATATACTGAAAAGTAAAAGAAAATAACCTTTATGGCTCATTATAAAAGTTAATGAGAAAGGCCAAAGAGAGGGTCATGTTCAAAGCTTTTTATGTCAACGTTTCAATTTCAATCGTATTCACCGCATAAGGACATTACAAAAAGAATTCGGTACAATTTCAAATTTCAGATAAAACAAGATGTGTTTGTGAAACACTATGCGCCCGGCGGCAACAAATTTAAAAAAATATATTTTTAGCCTAACGGTCACAGTGAAGGGCAAAGGGTCATTGATCTTGGTGTCATTTGAAAGATATTGATGTGAAGTATGCATACCAAATTTCAAGTCTCTATCTTTCATGGTTCAAAAGTTATGGTGAAGGTTCAAAAAAGCTATTTTTAGCATATAAGGCACAGTAAAGGTCACAAGGTCATTAAACTAGATGTCATGTGAAAGGGGTTCATTAGTGGAGTATGCATGCCAAATAATACGTCTCTATCTTTCTTCGTTCAAAAGTTATGGCGAAGGTTAAAGTTTGCCATCAAAAAAGCTATATTTACCGTATAGGCCATAGTCAAGGTCACAAGGTCATTGACCATGGTGTCTTTTAAAAATGCAGCATAAGCGTTGTATATATACCAAATATGAAGTCTCTATCTTTCATGGTTTAAAAGTTATGGCAAAGGTTAAAGTTTGAAAAAAAAATCCTCTATTTTTAGCATATAAGTCACAGTCAAAGTCACAAGGTCATTGACCTTGATGTCATTTGAAAGAGCTTTATTAGTCGAGTAGGCACACCAAATATGAAGTCTCTATCATTCATGGTTCAAAAGTTATGGCGAAGGTTAAAGTTTACAGACAAACAGACAAACAGACAGACAGGACAAAACGATTTACGCCTCGGATGTTTCGATTCGGGCGCATAAAACGTTATGTAGTACTGAAAGATAGACATTTAATTAAGATGAATTTGATATATGAAAGATAACACCAGAAAGACAGTTTTGCTTCGATTGACCTTAATTTCCTATGGATTAATCTTTTTGAAATGTTGATTATTATTCATTTTTTTAACAAAATGTAAATGTTACGGGTATTTTTATGCGAAAGAATGAGTGCACTTTAGTGCGTCACTTGGGACCTTTTTTATGTGTATCATATTAAGTAAACATACTACTTCTAGTTAACTATTTTCAGAGCAACAGAGGAGCTACTTATCAATCACTGATGTCCAAAAAATAGCCAGGGGTAACGTTTTTCAAGCAGCATCTTTCTCTGGATATTTGCGGTGTGATATGTATGGTGGCATATCACAGATAACTATTTTTAAATTAAAGGCTTTGGAAATTTTAATTAGGGATAAAAACGGATCAGATATTATTGGAATTAAAAACATATATATAAAGGTACGTAATGGACACATTTAAAAAACCCAAAACTAGATGTGTTTGTGAAACACTTTGCGCCCGGCGGCAACAAAGTTCGAAAAAGCTATTTTTTATGCCCGCCCCCTCCCCCTTCCAAGAAGGGAGGGAATATTGCTTTGCTGCTGTCTGTCGATCTGTTAGTCCATTTAGTGTCCGTTCATTTTCTTCACAACCTTTGCACATACTGAAATGAAATTTGGTATACAGATTTTTCAGATAAATATCTTGGTAAGTTCTGTTTTAGGTACGATCTCACCTATTTTGTTAGAGTTATGCCCCTTCGACTTAAAAAATTCCAATCATTTGCAGTTTCCGTACATTTTCTTTGCAGACGTTGCACATACTTAATTGAAATTTGGTTTACTGATTCATCAGCTTAATATCTAGTAAAATCGCACCATTTTTGTCAGATTTATTCCCCTTGGACTTTGAAAAATTCCAAATATTTGCAGTTTTTGTTCATTTTCTTTGCAGAGTTTGCACATATTAAAAATTAAATTTGGTATACAGATTTATCAGGTGAAATCTAGGTCATGTTCTGTTTTTGGTCGTGCCATTTTTGATAGAGTTATGCCCATTGGACTTAGGAAAATTCCAATTTGGAGGAGGGTGCATAATTGTTTTATAAACATTTCTTGTAAGCACATAGGTTAGCATATAGGTCACAGTCAAGGTCAAAAGGTTATTGACCTTGGTGTCATTTGAAAGAACTTAATAAATGGAGTATCCATACCAAATATGAAGTCTCTACCTCTCACAGTTTAAAAGTTATGGCGTATGTTAAAGTTGAAATCAGACAGACAGAGAGACAAACAGACAGAAAAACAGATAGACAGGACAATATAATATACGCCCCAATCTATCGATCCGGGCACATTAAAACGTTTATTTTTAAAAACGTTAATAATGGAAGCCCGTTGAGGTCAGTTCGAGAAAGAAATATTTTTATTGCGTTTAAGGTACTCCGATCCTCAGGCTCTGAAAATCAAGCATTGACTAATTGAAAATGCTCACAAAATTGTCTCTGAATTTTCAAAGTATCGTGTTTTACCCATAATAATTCTTCAATCTTCATCTTTCAAGTTTATCATATTATATAGAGAAATTAGTGAATCTCAAATATATTTTCAGGAATTGCGAATAAAAACACCTGCTATGCATTTTCCAATTCAAAGAACAAGTTCACTTTTGCCTTATTTGGCCCTGTGAATTTCAGAAGACTGAATTTGCATAGTTTTACTTAACAATGTATTGAATAGCACTTAAATCTTTGGTGACTGCGTATCTATCAAAAATGACGTAATTTTCTTGCTAGTCAATGCATTATACAATTTCCTCCTATTCTGAAAAAGTTTGCAAAAACGGCCAATTTTTAAAGTTATTTTTCGATATTATATATAGAGCGCAACCTCTGATCTAAAATGTACAACTACTAAATGATAGAACTACGAGGGGTTATCAAAAAGTTCGTGGACTAGCGCCATAAAATTAAAACCGCTTTAGGCACATCAATGAATTTTAAAATATCTAGCTGGCATCATCTTTTCTATCTAGAGAATAAATCATAAATCACAAATTTTATTTTTAAATAAATTAGTAATGTTTTTGTAAGCAATGGTATGTCCAGGCGGCGCAACCTCGAACACGACGTTTTTGCGACCTATGTTTAACTGAGAAAAACTCTTAAGGATATAAACATTTGACATCCAAAAATCCCGTAAATTCAGGTATGTGTCGGAACACAATTGTTCCATAAAATATAAAATTTTCACTTCATTTTGAAAGTTCTGTAAAATTTTATCGTAAATTTTACATGGAATGTACAAACAAATGAGGCCTTGAAAATGACGTTAAAAGGGGGAGGGTTTCCTTTTCCAGCATTCTTTAAAGTTTTGTCCCTGAAAAAACTTGTATAGACCTAAGAAATGTTTAAATTGGCTACATAGAAATAATATGCGTTCAGAGTACTTGTCTTTTAATGTCAAAATAGATTCAGAGAGAACAGGGATATACAGTTAATGTCGATTTGTAGTCAAGGTGTGTAATATCAATCACGTAAAAAAATGACGTTGATCATGTGTTATAGATATTGAACAACCAAAAGCAAAATATGCTGGCACAATCAAGCCAGGATCTCTCCCAATGTATAAATCCATTTGGAATATTATATTCATTGAAAGCCGCTGTTAATGACATTGTAAAGTCATAAAAACAAGGTGGGTTTAAGTCCTTACTCACCTCCAGGGAATCTAAAAAAAAAAAAAAATGTATGAGGTAGGAGAAGAAAAGGACATTAAAAAAAATGACGTTGTCGGACGTCATGAAAATAAACGACGACAGCGCCTGGTGATCAAATAATGTCGTTTTTATTTTATAATAATTTGGCAAATAATGAACATATCGGGCTAAAATTTTCAACAATTCTTTATTTTTTGTTGTTTTATGTTTCATTTAAATTTTGAAAGCACAGACTATGTTTTTTATAGCATTTTTTGAAATTTTGAAAGCGTTTTATTTTTTAGATCAGAGAGTGCTAAATATTGAAAGTAATAATTTTATAGCCTCAGTCCACGAACTTTTTGATAACCCCTTGTATATCTGGGTATTGAAAGACGTTTTATTTTTTAGATCAGAGAGTGCGCTGATATTATTTTTCGTCATTCAAAGTACTCAATTATACCTGTTTACCTGAAAATTCAAGCACATTGCAGTTCCATAAAGCCAGTTTTCCACGACCTGGACCTTTAGGAGAAATTATTAATAGGAAATGAAAGCACAAAGTCTCTATTTTATTTTGATGCTTCAAATGGAAAATCAAGTGTTAATCAATCAACTGGTATATCTACAGGGCCATTTTATGCAAAAAGTGAACCGATCTTTTTGATCAATTAACACATTTCAAAAATAAAAATCATAGATATCCAGGCTTTTAAAGAAATTCCACAATTTTCATAATATAATGTGCTTTAATTTCTTTTATTTACTTCTATCATTTTACAATTCAAAGTGTAAAAAGAATCCCCTGTCATTGCAAACGTCCATAAGCACTTCTAATTTCACATTATATTAAGAAACATTGGTATCTATGGCTAGATTAAAATGAACATTTATTTCTTGATATATCTTATTCTAAAGTGCTTTTACGGGGTAAAA